ATGGACGTGTAATATGTTTGCGCGTTTACTGTGCCTTCCATTATATTTAAACAACGGTCATAAGTAACATGGAGCTTTTTGGGATAATATTTTGTGCATAAATTTCGCCTTATTAAAAAGTAGTCGTTCACAAAGCGGTAGTAGCATAAGACCTTTATACGTTTCGGAACTCGCTGTCCTATGATTATTACTTATTAAGCGAATAGCGCGCTTTTGCAGTGACGTGAGCCTCTTGATAACAGAACTGGAGCAGCCATCCCATATTGTAGAGCAATAGTCTATATATATCTGGATGTGAGAAATATAGAATATCTTTCTTGTGTTTTCATCAAGAAAGTTTTTAATTTATGAAAGCTGGTAAACCTTTTAAGCTGTTTGCTTCACAAGTGCTTTTACGTGTGAGTTAAAGGTTAGATTTGCATCAATGATCAATCCCAGTGCTTTGTGCTCAGTTACACTTTCCACTTGAGTCCTCCCAATGTAGAGTTCAAGCGTTCTCTGTGAATTTAGACTACATAGATTTTGTCTCTTTGTTATTAGCATAGATTTTGTTTTATTAATGTTTATTTGCACACGGTTTCACTGCTCAATTTAGCTACATTGGTTAGTTCTTGTTGTAATGACGACTCTAGTGCACTGCTTGTTTGAACATTTGCATAGATGGTATAGTCGTCTGCGATTAGATCACAGGACGACGTCAGACATAAGGGAAGATCATTTATGTAAATATTAAATAAAAGAGGGCCGAGAATCGAGCCCTGAGGCACCACAGTATTTAAGCTAGTTGTCCGCGATAGGGATTTATCGTAAGAGATTATTTGTTTTCTATTTAACAAAAATGATTTTATTAACTTTAATAGCCTTGGGTTAAATTTCATTGTTTCTAATTTTTTTAATAAGAATATTATGGTCTATCATGTCAAAAGCTTTTTTAAAGTCTATAAATACCCCTCCACATATTTTCTCATCATTAATATTCTTATGCCAGTTTTCTATCATGTTTGTTAAGGCAGTATGGCAAGAATATTTTGGTCGAAACCCTGATTGGTTATCGATTATAAGTTTGTTGCGATCTAAATATTGAAATTTTACTTTATGAATATGTTTTTCTAGTGATTTTGATAGACATGATAACAGTTAGATCGGTCTATAGTTACCTGGGATGCTACTGTCTAAGGAACCAGATTTTAGGTGTGGATAAACTTTGGCAATCTTAAATGCCGACGGGAAGTAGCTTTTAGCATGACATTGGTTGTAGATAAAAGTCAATGACTCGCAAATAGCTGGTGCAGCACTGCAAAGGCTCTTATTGCTGATTCCATCTAAACCGCTGTTTCTGAGGCTGTTGAGATGTGTTAACACACCAGCCACTGACATGAGAGGTATGTCAGAAGGAATATCTTAGGAGCATTTATTTTCACAAAATGATAAAAGCCTGGATAAATCACAAGGACAATTTGGTATTGTGGCTTTTAACTAGGGCTGTACCGAATATTCGCTTCGTATTCGCTTCGGGGCCAAATAGTGGACCTAATAACTATTCGGTATTCGGCCAAATAGTTGCGGTCGGGCCGAATACGAATAGTGGTTACCTTACTCCCGTTTCTGCATACACTGTGATGGACTGAAATAACTCTCTCATTAACACAATAGTTGCTGTTGCCTAAGTCATTCGTAGCGGGAGAAACTGCGACCCGGTTGCGTGGTACAAACTGCATAAAATGCCAACCGCAGTGTGTGTGTGTGTGTGTGTGTGTGTGTGTGTGTGTGTGTGTGAGTGCGTATCTGTATGTGTGAGAGAGAGAGAGAGAGAGAGAGAGAGAGAGAGAGAGAGAGAGAGAGAGAGAGAGAGAGAGGAGAGCGAGAGAGAGAGGGAGAGAGAGAGAGATCATGCATTTTTCGTTTTTTCAGGGTGTCTTCGCCCAAATCAAATTTGAAGATATTTTAACGAGAATATGAAGGTGCGTTTAAATTACATCAAACGAACGGCCGAGTCAACGATGGTTTTGAAAGAGGTGGGAGCCCGAAGACAACTAATCACAGACATCAGAAGGAGACAGTCGTCATTTTTCAGCCATGTTATGAGAAGAGGAATAATTGAACATTTGGTGATCACTGGAAAGATCTGTGGAAGGAGGGATAGAGGAAGACAACGATAGAAGATTCTTGACAGTCTTGTTGCATGGAGGTGTGTCAGCACACGAACTGATACATGCTGCAGCAGATAGCAGATTCTGGAGAGACATGATCGCATTCGGCAGTCGGCAAGGCACCTGATGATGATGATACACTATTTGTATTCGTATTCGGCCGAATAGTTAGTCCCACTATTCGTATTCGGCCGAATAGTGAAAATCACTATTCGTTACAGCCCTACTTTTAACTGTTCTATATCGGCTTCAAAGAACTTAATAAAATCATCTGATGTTATGTTAGATGTCAGTAAAACGCGTTGAAGTACCTTTTTTTTTTTTCAATGTATTAATTGACTTCCATATATCTTTGGTGTTTGTTTTATCTACTATTAACATTTTTAAAAAGTTCTTCTTCTCCTTACGAATGGCATACTTGACTTTGTTTCGCAGACTCGGTATCTAATTAAATCTTTATTTTTATGTGCATTATCTCGCTCTCTCATTACTTCAACTACTTAATGGGTGATCCATGGGGATTTAGTCTGATGTTTCACGCCGACCTCCTTAATTGGCACATGTTTATCAAATACGCAAAAGAAGGTCTTCAGCCAATATTCATCTAAGTCAGGAAGTTGATAAACATGGCCAAAAGGTGAATTTAGCAGGTCCAGTAGGAATGTATCTTGATTAAAATTGTTGTAGCTTCTAAATTTAATACTTATATGTTTTTGTATGGTAAATTTCGTTCCTATTTTATTTCACACACACGTTACGGGGTTAATTATCGCTCATTGCTGTAGTGGGTACCTTGCATTCTATGGTGTTATCAGGACATGTTGCATAAATATGGTCTATGAGTGTTGACGATGATTTTGTTATTCTAGTAGCTTGATTGACTAGCTGTTGGAGATTGTATGAGGTAGTTATGTCTTCCCACGTCTTATTGGATTTTAGGGCGTTTAAGAAGTATCATTTCTCCAATATTGTTGAACAATGTATCCATCATGACGGGGAAGTTTTCATACCACATGTTACTAGCACTAGGGTTCTGATGTAGATAGCTAACTACAACGGGTCTGTGATTTTGTAGCTTAACTTCCAAAAATATGCATTCTACCTCCTTAGTCTCTAAGTCTAGTGAACATTCAGTGAATCACTGATGTAGACCGCTTTACCGGTCTCTTGTTTCCAATGCGAGTCTTTTCTAATAACTCTAAAACTGTTGATATGCATAGCATCATCTGTAATGTTGTCATTTAATCAACTCCCACTAAGGCCGAACATGTGAAAACCTTGACTAAGAATAAGGGACAGTTCGGGCAGTTTTCCCAGAAGATGGCAGATATTCAGATGTCCTAATTTAAGCCCAGTTTTAGTAAGCCAATGCTCACGTGTGTCAGACATGATATCAATACAGTACAATATCAGTTCTGTCAATGCCACAGTATTTGAAGCTGCAACAAAAACAAATTAATAATGGGAGTAAAAGAAAAAACGATTGAAATGAGAGAGAGTATGAAGGAAAGTTGAATTACAATTTCCAAACTCACATACACTACCACCTCGCTTACAGTTAAGCAGATTTAAGCAGTATTATAACAAGCCCAAATAGTTAACTACAAACGTGTAGCTCGATATACAAGTCAGTGTTTATAAATGTATCTGTGACCCACTGCTGATCAAGTGGGCAGCACAGTAACAGTGAAATAAACGCCTAATGTTAGAATTTAACAAAATATATATTTTATTATATATATATATTTACCTCAAAAAAACTAGTAAAATAATGACCTAAGCAAAAATTATTTCCATGTGGTGGCATGTACCCTCTCTGGGTGGAGGCAGATTGGGCTTCAGGCTGGCTCGAGCTTGTATAAGTGAAATATTTTAGGTAATAAAAGGTGGATGTTGGGGCATGTCAAGCTGATTATTTTAGGGAATTTAAATAGGCAAAATCAAGTTATAATAAATAAACGCTTGAGATAATATAAAATAACCCCTGTTCTCATGTTTAGACGTATTGGGCATAAAGGGCTAGACCTATGTTTTATAGACCAATCAGCACTTGGTGGCTGGTGGGAGCAGCATCACGCCAACAGCTTCTACTTATCAGGACTTCACCTAGTACCTGTTCAAGGCTGGGTGGACCTGAGAGCCAAGGGCATTTACACACAAAAAAGTCCGCTTCGGTCAGGACCTGAACATACGACCTTCCCATCCGCATGTGGGCGTCTAGCCGCTACACCACGGCGGCTCACTTGAGGTAATGTATCCACAATAATACTATTTAAAAATTGCCCGTTTGGTTTCATGGGTTCTATTGTGGAGAAAAACCAAGAATAGACCCCCTGCCTCCTCAACAAGTGTGTCGTAAGAGTCGACTAATTTGGCGCTTCCTTCGAAGTGGGCTGCAAATGCCCGAGAAGCAAAGAACCAACAATTTGCAATGGACAAATAAGTCATATTTGTAAAACGAATGTGCACGCAACACATAGGTTCTGGAGCAAGGCTGAAGTCCGGAGGCGGACGAACAACCAACACTTTCCGCCTGAGTTTACAGCAGAAAGAATGAAAAAAAAAACTAGTATAAAATTAGAAAATTTATGAGGAATTAAGTATAAAAATATATTTATATCTTACAAGGAAAGTGCACTGAAAAAAATAATAAATTGACGGCTGAAGCTTTGTTAGCTTAACCCCAAATCTAATATTTCATAGTTTTAATTACAGTCAGTAATGACAGTCTGACATAAAAATTAAAAAAAAAAAATTAGGAAGTTAAATCGTAGAAGATAATAGAACACAAAAGACATATTTTATGTCAACTTTTAAACTATTTTAATGAATGTCACATTTTCAACTTACGGATGGTAAGCATTCTGAAAACCGTCACTTGAAATAGTCTTTTGCTGAAGTGTAACGCTTAAATGTCTAAACCAAATTCGCTACACATTTACCTTATGGTATGATACATTAAAAGTTATTTAATTAAAAGAATTTGTTAATTCAAAAGTTTCATTAGGCTTATTTTTGCGCAGTTGCTATTTTCCAGAATCTGGATGTAATGTCTGTTTGTCGAAGAGACGCCTGCTTTAAACTGACGGTAGTGCCTGAATTGTAACATTAACAAACGTTAAACGACGTCGCTGCTGTAAAATATATACCAGTTGTGTAACCGTTTAGCTGCCAAAAATGAGGTCAATAGTACACGTTTGCCTTAACATGACTGCAGAATGGAACAGAATCCGAATGTAACGTATATTTTCGAAGAACCGATGTTTCAAACTGACAGAAACGCTTTGAATATAAGGTATCAAATGCTGCCGTTTTATAAAATACAACTACGACACGAGTTAGCTGCCAAACAAGGAGAGTGTTTGACGTCTGTCCTTACTTGACTCTGCGCTAATGCAAAAACAAAAAGTGTATGACATATAACGTCTGGCCCAGGGCGCTGTTACCTGGTAGAGGGGCTTTTGCATATTTGCATTTTCCTTGTCATGTTATGATACATTAAAAGTTATTTATTTAAAACAATTTGTTAATTCAAAAGTTTCATTAGGCTTAACTTTGGGCAGTTTCCATTTTCCAGAATCTAGATGTAATGTCTTGTCACATACCGCTCGTGTCGCGTGCCTGATTTAAGGATTGCTCCTTAAGAACCAACAGCACTCTGAAATAATAATGTTGAGGCGTCGGCTCGTATTGGTCTAAGGGGGATCCCGTGGCCAATATACACTCCACTTATTTTAGGAGTAGGGCAACTCAAGCTGTGGCACTACATAATATCTAATATTCCAAGGCACACTTGGCTGGACCTCTCCACTACTATAAAAGGATAGCTCCCAGGCCATGTTAACACAGATTACACTTATTAATCACACAAACATAAAAGCTAGACAGGTAGAATGGTGAAACAGGGACACCCAAGTCAGCCATGAAAATTTCTGAATGGATGTAATAATTTCAACATATAGATACACACACACACACACACACACACACACACACATATATATATATATATATATATATATATATATATATATATATATATATATATATATATATATCAAGACAATCAAAATGGTTTCCAGTGAATGGAGTTCAGGACAACGTCACAGTGATGATGTTGAAAAAGCCAGACTAAGTCCACAGAGAGTACATGAATCATCACAGAGAATCATAGGTAGCCATGTAAATGGAGCATATGGCCTGTCATCTTAAATGTTACTTATTCAGGCTCCAGTAACCTACAAGACCTTTGACTGTAATTACTTTCAATGAAATCATTCATTTGACACCTATGTACCTTGTGCTTTGTTTCATTCTGGTGCATGGATTTGGTTTTTGTTGTTACATTACTGCACCCACACATTTCTTGTGTTTGAATCTTAATATTTGTGTTTGTTTAGATTTCATTACACATTAAGGGGAATATGTCAACACTGGCCTGAGTATTGAGGGGGAGAGAATGTTGACCAGTAAAAATGTATTATCATGAACGATAATACTACCTGTTCTGGGTAACGACGCGAGCAGACGTAGGGTCACTATGGAAAAAGAACAGGGGGGATGCCGACGAGAGTTGTGTGCTAGAGGGGACTTGTGTTGGAAGTCGTGTTGGTCATCGGAGTCCTTCGACAAGCTGACGTGCTGTGTGCTTTGGAGAACGACAATGGAAGTCCGTCTCCAGTCAGCCGTGGTTGTCTGCTGAAATAATATCAAGGTTCAGTGGATAGGAGAATTCGTCCTGTTCGGCTGTGCGGCGAGCCCAGAGTTGTGGGACGCTGCATACCTTTGAGAGCTCTAGTGGTCAAGGAGAGAACTCGCTACAAGTTGAGAAAGAGAGCGAGTTAAGACTAAACGGACTATGTGCGAATGTCAATTGGGATCAATGTCTACATCTCTGCAGTTTTGTTTATGTGAGGGCGTGTGTATACCCTCTTGTGTTCTGTCAAATAAATATGTTGTGTGACAGAACTATTGTCGTCGAGTCCTGCTTCGAGAGTGTGGGAGCGAAAGTTACATCTTTAGACACTTGGAAGTGTGCTGATTAGTGTATAACTCGATAGCACACAACAGTTGGGAGCCAGGCCAACGAACGAGGAACATATCAACCTCTGGTCCACAACAGTTGGGGACCATAGCTACTGGAAAACGAGGAGCCTCCAGTCAACAGTCTGAACCGCCAACCGTGTGAGGGACAGCCTGCACATAGCGAGGGACATTACTCACACAACAGTTGAGTCCAACCTTACGGAAGAAGGAACACCTTGCATACAAGACAGTTGAAAGCCAGCTATCGCCAACAGTTGGTGGGCGCCAAGACTGCAGTGCAGAACAGTTCCGTTCAAACCCAACAGTTGGAAGCCAGCGACACATTAGAAAGACTTCTAGAATGTGTCATTGATCCTGCGTTAAACTGTCAGTGTTGACCTATGTGTCGTCATCGAGGAACACAGAATCGTTTAGTCACCAGCCACATAGAACCGAAGCTGCAGCCGTGTTATCCAGGAGCTGAACCAAAGAGGGAAGCTGTGCTTTGAACTGAGTGATTTGCTGAAGCTGCATTTTGTGTGTGTGTCCTCTTCCACTTGTCATCTTATCGTCCAACATTGACAGGTTTGTAATTGTAAATTGTGTAATGTTTTATTGCAATATTTACATTGTTGTGGCCATGCTATATGTTTGGTACGTATGAGATGTCATCTGCGTGGTGTACTTGTTAAGTGGGAGGTTGGGAGGGGCGCTTCCAATTAGGTAACATTTTCTCTGATGCCTAATTTAGGAGCTATCTTTTAGTTATTTCTGCCTATTATTTTATAGATCGGAATACCTAGTTGTCTACGTCAGGTGGCGTTAATAGTCCTGTACGTACGGTTTGTTATATGAAAATCCTTTGTGCTTTCGGTCCATTTTCTTAAGTGTACCGTCATACATAGCTTGATTTCTCGTCGTCTTGTTTTCGTAGAAGTTATCGCTGTTATCTTAGCGTCGTGTAATGTCTTTTATTTGTTCCTATCCCACTAGCATCATTAACAGTCAAAATGTCCTTCGCTGAGTTTGTCAGCATAAGTAAGGAGTTAGGACTCAAGTCTGAAGAAGTCCTAAGCTTTGCAGAAGCTAGGATGAAAGAGACAGCAGAAACTAGGATGAAAGAGATAGCAGAAGCTAGGATGAAAGAGATAGCAGAAGCTAGGATGAAAGAGATAGCAGAAAAAGCTGCTAAAGATGAGAGAGCTGCGGAAAGAGCTCATCAAAAAGAAATGGCAGAGTTGGCCATTGCAGAGAAAGAAACAAAATTAGCGAAGTTACAGGCACTAAATAAAGAAAAAGGTTCGAACCACTCAAGCGAAGATGTGGAAAAGTATAAACCCAAATGACCCTTCTTAAAACCAGAAGATGAATTACATTCTTTTATTGAAAGATTCGAAGAAGCTAATAGATGTGCAGGTATTCCTGAATCACGATGTGTCTCACGCCTGCGTGATTTGTTAACAGGAAAGACGTTAGTTACGTTTAGCAACCTGTCAACAGAAGAGAGAAGTTCTTTTGCTAGTGCGTCAGAAGTTGCTAGCTTCCAAGCAACTAACTGATGAAGGATATCGGCAATGCTTTCATTATTATTTTTTTTTTTCGGGTCGGTCACCCAAATGTCCAGCCTGGCCGCCCGACTACCCGAAGGATATTTCGTCGGTAATCGAGACTGAACGGGAAAGCCGCAAATTTTTTAAGATGGCTTTGCCGATTGGGTTTCTCCCGTGACTTGGTGATGACCAATCCCGGACCTCTTGGCCAGACCGAGTGCAGCAAAGCTACACTTTGATAACACTTTCATGATTTTATTTTAAAATACGTTTATTGGTTGAAAACATGGTTTACAATATTTCATATACATTTACAAAAGCAAAAATAATAAAATGGTAAAAAAATTGTGACGTTGTACCTATACTCCACCAACATTTGGAAGAGAGTAGAACAAAGCAGGAGACAGAAAATGACAGGGGGTAAGGAAAGGAGGGGCCATTCATAATTATTTGTTGTCGGTGGTAGCCTGTTATGATGGTGGTGATGATGATAGGGTTACATCATATACAGTGGAACCTCGCTTAACGAGAATAATTCGTTCCAGAATCATACTCGTTAAGCGAAACACTCGTTATGCGAAACAATTTTTCTCATATAAATTAATGTAATTAATAAAATACGATAATGCGTTCCAAGTCGAAACAAATACTCACAAAATGTTATGTAATAAGTTTATTAAAAGAAAATTATATCCATATTGTTAAGGAGAGTGAATTATCTTTACCCGTAATGGAGGGTAGTTCATCAGCTGCAATCGACTCGACTTCATTGACTGAAACTACACATGCGTATTTCCTTCCCTGCAGTCGACAAGAATCTCTCTACATAGGCGAATGAACCTGGGAGCTTATGCTATACCCTTCTAAACAATCCAAAGTGTTTCCTTCTACAACCGCACAGTGCGAAATTCAAATGTTACCAGACAATACCAACTCAGAGAAGTTAGCTGTTTGTGGAGAGCTAACATACACTATTATCCCCTTGTGATTTTCGCAGCACTAAATTTGGAAGTTCGGGTGAGGATGGGTTAGGGTTGGGGTGGGGGGGGGGGGTGTGTGGAACAGACCCATTGTCATCCAACAATCATTAAGAAAGTAGAAGGTAAAAGAAAGATAATGAAATAATGAGACCGCCGGACATACATATTGATAGACGTTGATGACTGGAGTCTTCTGAAATCTGCAGCAATGAACTTCAGAGTCTACGTATGCTGAAGAATATTTATATATATAAATTATATATATATATATATATATATATATATATATATATATATATATATATATA